TACACATAAGTAAATAAATAAAATATTTAAAAAAAAAAAAAAAAAGAATACTGGCTGAGAGTTGGCAGTAGTGGCTCACGCCTTTAATCTCAGTTCTCCAGAGGCAGAGACAGAGGGATGCCTGTGAATTCAAGGCCAGCCTGGTCTACAAAGTGAGTTCCAGAACAACAAAGGATATTACACAGAGAAACCCGGTCTCAAAAAACCAACCAACCAACCAGCCAACCAAACAAACAAACAAATAAACCTGAGTTGAGATTCTCAGTACCCCTTTAACAGGCCTGATATGGAATCATGTCTCTATAATCCCAGCACTGAGAAGAGTCAGATTCCTGGAGCTCACTGGCCACTCAGCCTAACCAATTGGTGATCTCCAGACTCAGAGGACCCAGTCTAAAGGAATAAAGAAGAAAGTGATAGAACAAACACCCAGTGCCCCTCTCTGGCCTTGGGCACACCCCCCACCACATACACACATGCACCACACATATACACAAAAAAATTAAAAATTAAAAAATGATCACCTATTAAGGATTTCTAATATGAGGTGTTTTCACATATGAATATATTACCAAACAAGTGTATTAAGGAGAAGGCAACATTTAAAAATAAGGACATATCAGAGAATCTTAAAAACTGTTGCTTTGGGGCTGGAGAGTTGGCTCAGCAGTTAAGAGCACTGGCTGCTCTTCCAGAGGACCTAGGTTCAATTCTCAAGACTCACAAGTGCCTGTAACTCCAGTTCTGGAGGATCCGACACCCTCACACAGACATACATGCAGGCAAAACACCAACACATATGAAACAGAAATAAATAACTTTTAAAATTTATAAAAAATAAAAGTAAATCTTCAAGAATTGTTGCTTTGGTATTTTGTATGTATTTATTATTATTGTGATCTGGATGTGTGAGGCGTATGCACAGGCACAAGTGCCACAGCGCACACAGAGGTCGGAGGACAACTTTGTGCAGTCAGTGTTCTCCTTTTGCCTTATCTTAAGGTGAGGTCTGAGAATTGATGTGACTTAGGCCATCAGGCTTGCATGGCCAGGCAGCAGGCAACTTTACCCTCTGAAGACATCTCACTAGCCCATCTTCAGCATGTTTTTAAATTAAAAGGACTTTTTCATGAACTCCGATATCAAAGAAACATTTAAAAAAATCTAAAGAAGTTAACATTTAAAGAATGATTAAGCATTTTTCTTTTTTGGCAAAAGTCTCATTTGTTTTTCTCAAAGAAACAAAACATGCACTTTCGTGTCAGCACATTCAACAAGGAGCAGGTGCAGTTAGAGTCTAGGCTGTCCCCAGAAAAGAGCTGTCTGGTTCAACACTTGAAACACAGTGCTATTTGCTCCGCCTAAAACTTCCTTGTAAGGAAAGGTCCTCCTTACCAGGCCTGGGTAGGAGACAGTGGTAACACTGACTCTCCCCTCCACAGCCCAGGGAAAACTCAGTCTTAACATTCACAAAACAATCTGCTGAGAGCTTCAGAGCAGCTGCATTCAGGCTGAGCCAGGGACTTTACTCAAGGCAAAAGAGTAGTCTAAGAATTGATTGAAAAAAATGACTTTTGTTTTGAAGTTAAGCAAGGAACAGCAAGTGGTGGCGCACGCCTTTAATCCCAGCACTTGGGAGGCAGAAGCAGGCGGATCTCTGTGAGTTTGTGGTCTACACAGCAAGTTCCAGGACATCCAGGGCTACACAGAGAAACCCTGTCTTGAAAAAAACAAAAACCAACAACAACTAAAAAAAGAATAAGTTAGGAAAGGAAAAAGGGCAAGATACAACAACATTAACGTTTTATCCCTTGTAAGCAAAAGTATTTTAAAAAATTCTATAAATTATAAAAACTTAGATATACTATAAAGTTCAAGATACTGTTGACTTCCTCTGTCTCTATCAAACGTTCTAGGCCACAAAAAAAAAAAAAAAAAAAAAAAAAAAGCCATTTAAATCCAACAATTCGTCTTCTCTACACACCTATACCTGCCCAGTTCAATATTAAGGGGAAAAAAAAAAATCTCAATTTTGCTGACTAGTGTGACTTTAAATTTAAAAGTCATAACTTAACAATTTATTATCAATTAACAAATTATTATCAATTTTTTTCTTCTTCTTTTTCTTTTCTTTGAGACAGGGTCTCATGTTGCCCAAGCTAGCCTTATACTGGCCACACAGACAAGAATGATTCTGGCTCCTGCCTTCACTTCTCGTGATGGGATTATAGGTGCTCACTACCATGCCCAGTTTTATGCAGTAACAGGGCTCACACATGCTAAGCAAGCATTCTACCTACTGAGCTGCATATCTAGGCCCCAAAGTCTGTCTTTCTCCCAGGTGAGAACACTACCCAAGGGAGAAAAAACAAATCCTGCACTAAGAGTATTCAAGTTAAAGTTAAAGCCACCACAAATTCTAGACTGGAAGACAGGGACTCAGCTTTCTCACTGGATTTTTTTTTTTTAGGGAGGGAGGGGAAGACTACTACCTGAAAATTCTTCTGAATGTCCAGTAGCAAATGCTCCCAGCTGGAACTCAATTCAGTCCCTATTCAGTAGTTAATACTAAAGGGTCTCAACATTTTTATTGGGACAATTTCTAACCAGGGAAAATGCCTCAACTGTTTGCTGAAAAACAAAGGTCAATACAAAAGCACAGGTCTGGGTTTTCTTCATCAGTAGTACTTCAATTCCCAAAGGTAAAGGAGGCACTGGGCAGTGGTGGCGCACACCTTTACCCCCAGCACTCGGGAGGCAGAGGCAGGCCGATCTGGGCTACAGAATGAGTTCCAGGACAGGCTCTAAAGCTACACAGAGAAACTTTGTCTCCAAAAACCAAAAAGAAGTCTGGATTATAACTCAGTGGTAGAGTACTTGCCTGGCATGCACAAAGCCCAAGTCAAAGTTCCAATTCCAGCAAGCTCACAACCCCCCAACACACACACACACACACACACACACACACACACACACACACACACACACAATTTTCGAGCACGTGCCAAAAATGGAGGGGGGACAGACACAGACAGGCAGAAGGAATGTAATCTGTGCATTAGCAAAGAAGTTATTAATTAAATATGTCTAACTCATTATAAATGATATACAATTACTAAACAAAGGGCAATGTCCTGTCCCCTTTCTGCACAGAATTAAGAACAAACTGGTAAGACGACTTCATACAGCTGCCAAACTTTTCTTTAGCTTCTTTTCTTACAGTCATGTTAAATTTCGCAATAGCTTCCACTTACTTTACATCCCCCATGTTTAAAAACAAATTGTGTTGGAGTTCCTCAACTCTTGCCTTAAAATATTATGATAGTTCTTTAGTTTCTAAGTCTGGATGTAAAGAAAGCATGGGAAAATGTTCAATTTCCTAAACACCACGAGTCTGTTTTATTTACACCATTTAAAATATTAAGAGGATACTGGGGGTGTAGCTCAGTTAGTACAGTGTTTGCCTAGCATGCTCAAAGAAAGCCTTGGGTTCAATCCCCAGCACCACATAAACTGATAAACTGGGCATGGGAGTGAATGCCTGAAATTCCCACACATGGGAGGTAGAGACAGAAGGACCAGAAATTCAAGGTTATGAGTTCAAAGCCAGTATGGGCTATATAACACACACACACACACACACACACACACACACACACACACACACACACACACACACACACATACACACACACACACAGCGGCTAAGCATGTAGCCTAGATGGCAGAGTGCTTACCTAGCATACAGAAGACCCTGAGTAGTCAGTCCCTAGTACCATATACAATGGATGTGGTGGCACACACCTATAATCCCAGCACTTGGGAGATGGGCAAAGGAGGATCAGGAGTTCAAGGTCATCCTCAGTTACCTCAGTTTGAGGTGAACCTGGGCTGCATGAGACCCTAATCTCAATTAATAAATAAGAATATATAAAAGATAAGTAAGACTAAGTTCAATCATCCATTAAATAACTCTTAATGAATGAAAGGGAAAAGCCACATTTAAGGAAACAAACTTTATTTGTTAGTGTTTATAGAGATCTACACAGGTTCTACAGAAATCATACTGCCGAAATTTTTTAAACATAGTAAACAAGTTTTCTGAGAAAAATCTGCACATCTCCACAAATCTATACTTCATATGAACCCTGAGAGATATTAAAACACCCTCTGCTAAGCAGAACACAAAGTTAGGAAAGTAGTAACACGGGAATCTGGGTAGGAGGTGCCTGGGTAGTCAACACCCCAGCGAGAGAACATAACAAGCATTTCAGAGCAACATATAAGTCCCTACGGGTCTCCAACTTGGGCGGCCAAAGTCCCAGGCCCACATCCCTGTGTTTTGAAAGAAATGAAACTTGGAAAGGGGAATGCTGGAAAAAGGAAAAGAAGAGCAGTGTACTACTTTCTTCTTCTCGGCCCCTATGCCAGCATTCTGACCGGCTGGTCACTAGTCTAGGTGCCATATCCACCAAAAACACCGAGCAATATCCCGACCGCCTTGCGACTAAAGACCAGCCTGAAAGACCTGTGTGTGCCAGCCGCTGTCTCCTCTCCAAACGGCCCCCTTACCTCTGGACTTCCAGACTACCACCGGAGCGATGCCTTCTAGCAACCCAGCCCACTGGCACTGTCCTCTCGCTAAACTCAGACTTTCTGAGACCAGGTCTCTGCTAAGTCTCAGGAACTCCACGGAAACGCCAGGACCCTGGGCTCCAAGGCTCCAGCTCGCCGTGCCTTGCGGCCACACCACGCATGCTTTCACCTGAGCAGGGCTCCCGTGGTCACCCGGACCTACCTACTGCCCATTACCTCTGCCTTTCGCAGGGCCAAGCCCTAACCCCACTTTTAGGGAAATCTCGAGTCTTCAACCTAGTTGAGCGGTCCTCCTCTTGCTTCTATTCCCGGGTCCTTCCCTCGGACTTGCACTAGACTCCGCTTCCCCCAGGATTCAGCCCCCCTTTTCCTCGCCACGCCCTGCGCCCCCCGGGGCTACTTACCCCAAGTTCTCCCCACACTTCAGTCCTCTGGCCCCGCCTCCCTCCAAAAGGAAGGGGGCGGGAGAAGAGAAGGGGGCGGCACTCCACAAGGCAAAGGCGATCTCCCATTAGCGCTCATGGCCGCCAATTGTGGCTTCCTTCTCGCTTATTGGTTGTCTTTCGACTACGCCCCACCCTCTTCCTCAGACAGGCCCGGCCACCGCCTCAGCGCCCCCGTCCAACACAGACTGGGAGGGGAGACCCCGGCCCGGGACGCTGGGGCGGGCCGGAGCGGAAGGGGAGCCTCCTGTCGGACCGCGGACCGGCTAAGGTTAACAGGACTCACCCGCTGGTAGCTCCGGCGCCTCCCGCCCGCCCGCGCTCGGTCCCACAATCTGCCTCCTGCTCCTCCTTTCCCCCCTCGGCCGAGCAGACACTTTCCTCCCGTCCGGCCAGGCGTGCTCACTTCTCGCGAGAAGCGGGGGTGAGGGCGCGATTCGTGGGGGCTGCGTTGGACAGGGCCCCGGGGGCGGGGCCTGCTGCGAGCGTGGCGTGAGTGGAAGGCTGGCCGAGGGCTGTACACACGACCCGCACGTGTTCGCCCGCGGAGTCGGGGCCGGGGAGGCCGGGAGGGCGGGAGGCCGCGTCCGGGAGCTCTGCAGTCGTCCGGGCGAGTGGAGGTCCGGCCGCCAAGCAAAGGGAGCGCGGGGCGCCCTGCTCCAGGGGCTCGGCGGGGCCAAGCAGACCCAGGGTCGTTCCGCAGGGCTCCACGCCGGTGACGCGTTGCCCGGAGCGCGTTAACCCGGGTGTCAGCGATCCAAGCAGGTGGCTCCTTCGTGTTGACTTCTTCACATTGCACAGGGTCATCACCGGCCCTAACTTCTGTCCGGCGTCTGGCTGTATGCCATGCATGGGATGGGAGTGTGAGGGGGAGCTGGTGATAAGAGTTCAACTCCAGAGACGACTTTAAAAATACATATAAATTTTTTACGCTTGTCCATTAGCAGGGGGTGTAGTGGGGGCGCCTCTGAAGGTCAGAGGACGGGAGGTCTCTCTTCGGGAGATCGAATTTAGGTCGTCCAGCTAAGACTGGTATGTTATGAGCCATCTCGTAGGGTCAGAAACAGTTTTTAAAGTACCAGTTGATACTACTAGTCTTCAGGGTCAGTATTTGCTTGACATCAAAGTAGTTTTAAATGCCCTTAGCCCTGAAACTGGAGGGAATCCGTTGGAAAAAGGCAATCCACCTGCCCCACACTGTCAGGGCTGCTTCTCTTCTACAGATCAATGCCTGTGGTGAGCTGTTTCTCCGAGACTATACAATGGGCTAGCAACTCCATTTTACTCATATTTGTAATGACACAAAGCAAAGACGGAAAAGATAACTGAACCAGTGGAGTGCTTATCCTGTAAGCATAAGATCTAAATTCCATCTCCAGAACCCATGTTAAAAACATGGGTGCTCACTGGCCTAGCCTACTTGCAGCCGGCCAGTGAGAAATCCTGTGTTGAACAAATGAACAACAAAAATAAGGGGGAGAGCTCTGAGGAACCACACCTGAAGTTGTCCTCTGGTCTCTTGGACAACCACACACACATGGATCTATGAACAACACACACACACACAAAGCACTGTAGGACTCGGTGTAGCTCAGTGGGAAACCTGCGGTTGGAGTTTGCACAGCATGGCAGATTTTTTTTTAATTCTGTATTTATTACCCAGCAAGTATTTTTACTAAAACACCAACAGCACATACTATTGTGTGTGTATAAAATATAAATTTTAAATATGTATTTAAATTAAATATAAATAAATGTATATATAAACACACACACAAAACACTCCCAGTCATGTGGAGAAGTGTAGACAGGCCTGGTCCTTCTCTGACAGAATTTTTATTTTAGAGTTGAGGGGGAGATAGGTCATAAGTCAGTAAGTGCACTTACTTCAGAAAGTGAAGAGTGCTTCAGGGTAATAGGCAGAAAGCAGCTCCAAGAGGGGAAGAAACTACTGCTGGTTTTAAGAGACGGCCTCTTGAGAAAGCAGGGGTTTTGTTTTATTTTGTTTCTGTGTTTTGAGATGGGTCTTACGAGCTGTCCTGGAACTCATTTTCCTGCTTCAGCTTCCTCCTAAGAACTTGACTTAGTCACTGAGCCACGGGTTTTGTCTGTGCACCATGTACATACCTGACACCTGCCTGTGGAGGCCTCGATAGAAACCAGGTGGAAGAACAGCCAGTCCTGTTAACTGCTGAGCCATCTCTCCAGCCTGAGGAGTTTAATTATGAAGAGACAACCTTGAGGAGATTTTTAGGAAAATACCAAATGTAAAAAGCTACATTAGGAAATTATCATAGCCAGGCAGTGGTGGTGCATGCCTTTAACCCCAGCACTCAGAGAGCAGAGGCGGGAGGATCTCTGAGTTTGAGGCCAGCCTGGTGTACAGAGAGAGTTCCAGGACAGCCAAGTCTACACAGAGAAACCCTGTCTTGAAAAATAAATAAATAAAATAAAATAAATAATAAAAAAATTATCATGAGGCAAATGGATCTCTGTGAGTTTGAGACCAGCCTGGAATACACATAAACACACACACACACACACACACACACACACACACACACACACACACATAATTATATGGTTGAGATGGTAATTTTTTGTGTGTTTTACTGTAGGTAAAAACGTAAGAATTGAACAAATTGTAAGTAGAGTTGACAAGTGAAGGGATTCCAGGGCTCCAGACAGATGACTAGTTGTGTTTTCTTCCTTATAGTCAACAGTGCCATCATCATGGCCATGGTCTGCTCAGCATGTGGCTAGAGCAGGGCAGAAGAGTCAGGTAGTGGTGGACTCTGTTCTTCTTTTGATGCTTTCCCCCACTTAGTGCTAGGCACTGCACCCAGGGCCTTACAGTATACCACGGAGCTGAATCCCGACATCTACCGCACTGCCCCCCACCTTTATTTTTTGAGACAGGGTCTGGCTATCTAGGTGATCTAGAACGCGTGCTCCTCATGCCTTGCCTCTGTCCAGAGTGCTAGGACTGCAGGCACTCCTCAACAGACCTGCCCTGCCTTCCAGTTTTTTGTTACTCGGCTTTCTGAACTTCCTGTCTGTGATCTTATTTAGCCTCTTAGCATCCTCGGAATGGTAGAATAATCCAGGTGATCTCCCTAGACAGCAAAAGCAGGGAAATAGCTTTTTAAAAATACTATTATTCTTGTAAACTGAGAAACGAGAGATTGTTAGCTTCCAAGCTATCCTCTCCTAATCTTGGTGCAGGTTTATGCATGCCACTACATGCATGTGACATCAGAGGACATCTAATCAATTTTATCCTTCTACCATGTGGGTCTTGGAGCTCAAAATGAACTGATTAGGCTTGGCAGCAAGCATACTTACCTAACAAGCCATTTTATTTGCTCTTTCTTTGTTTTTAAGACAGAATCTTGTTTTTTGTTGTGTGTTTTTCAAGACAAGTTTTCTCTGTGTAGCCCTGGCTATCCTGGAGCTCACTCAGTAGACCAGGCTGGCCTCTGACTCAGAGATCCACCTGCCTCCACCTTCCAAGTACTGGGATTAAAGGAACGTGCCACCACCACCTGGCTGAAACAGAGTCTTATGTATCCCAGGCTGGCCCCAAACTCACTATGTGTCCAAGGAGGGCCTTGAATATCTGATCCTCCTGTCTCTGTCTTTGGAGTGCTGGTGAGAACACTGCCATTCTCTGCATCAGAAGATGGAGTGGGATGAAGTCTTCCAAGACACTTTCTTTATAGTACTAAATTCCAGAGTGCCATGGAACTAACTGATAGCAATCATTTTTACCTTGAGGAAACTTCACTGAATGATGGCCCCAGGAATCCTTACAGTAAGCTCGGCGCCTCCCAAACTAACCTTGACAACCAAGAACACCTACCTCTCAGGTAGACCCTCATTTCAAATTAGCCAATAACTTATTACATGTTCTCATTCCAAAATATTTTCATTGCTCAAAAGGAAACCCTAGTGACCTAATAGTCACTTCCTCTTTAGCCCCATCAACTCCAGGCCATCACTAGTCTACTTTCTGTCTCTGTTTACCTTTTAAGCACTTTTTATATATGAATCAAATCTTGTAATATAGGGCCTTTTGAAGTTGACTTCTCTTGACATGATATTTGAAAGTTCATATGATAGTGTGTCTTGGTATCTCATTTATTTAATGACTGAATAATATTCCACTGGATGGATATGCCATAGTCTGACTATTCATTCATTCACTAGGTGATAGACTTTTGGATTGCTCCCACTTCTGGCCTATTATGAACATTGCTTTGAACATTCGTGTGCAACTTACTATGTTTGCTTCTAATACCTAGGAGTATAGTTGCTGGGTCATATAATAAATCTGTACTTGCAGTGGTTTAAATGGGAATGTCCCTCCACCCCCATAGGCTCATATGTTTGAATACCTGGTCCCCGCTTGGTGGAACTGTTTGGGAAGGATTAGGAGGGATGGCCTTGTCAAAGAAGATGTGTCCCTGGAGGCAGGCCAAGTTTCAGAAGCCCATACCATTCCCAGTTAGCTTTATCTGCCTGGTACTTGTGGATCAAGATGAAACCCCAAAGTCCACCCCCAGTGACACTCTTCCTCCAACAAGGCCACGCCTCCTAATGTATCTCAAGTAGCACCACTCCCTAATGACCAAGCTTCAAATATTTGAGCCTGTGGGGGCCATTCCTTTTGTTTGTTTGTTTTTTGAGACAGGGTTTCTCCGTGTAGTTTTGATGCCTTTCCTGGATCTCACTCTGTAGACCAGGCTGGCCTCAAATTCACAGAGATCCACTTGGCCCTGCCTCCCGAGTACTGGGATTAAAGGCATGTGCCACCACCACCGGGCGGCCATTTCTATTCTAACCACCACAGACGGCAAAGTACTTTTTATATTTTATTTGTTTGTTTATTTTTTCGTGTGTGTGTGTGTGTGTGTGTGTGTGTGTGTGTGTGTGTGTGCACGTGAGCACCACAGCCTTCATGGAGGTCAGCAGACAAGATACAGGAGTTGGTTCTCTCCTTCCACCATGTGTGTTTGGTTCTGGGGACAAAATTCAGGTCACTAGGTTGGCAGCAAGTATCTACCCATTGAATCAACTAAAAAGCCAGTCTCTGCTTTTTTAATATCATTGGCATTTAATGTAGTTGCTGGTAAGACAGTATTTTATATCTATGGTCCTGCTATGTGTTCGCTGTTTCTTGAATTTTTCTTCACATTTAGTTCACCATACTGTTGTCTTTTGTACTAGATTTTTTTTCTATTTACCTTTAAACTCTTTTGCCATTTCTGTTTACTATGTACTCTTTTTTAAGATTTACTTTTACTTAGCTGGGCATGATGGCACATGCCTTTACTCTCAACACTCGGGAGGCAGAGACAGGTGGATCTTTGAGTTGGAGGCCAGCCTGAGGTACAGAGTAAGTTCCAGGACAGCCAGGGCTACACAGAGAAACTCTGTCTTAAAAAAAAGAAAGAGTTATTTTTACTTATGTCTGTGTGAATAAAGAACACATATGTAAGGGTGTCTGCAGAAGTCAGAAGGCTGCATTAGATCCCCTGTAGATGGAGTCAAGGGCAGTTGATACGGGTTTTGGAAAACAAACTTGAATCCTTTGGAAGAGAAGAAAGCATTCTTAACTACTGAGTGATCTCTCCAGCTCCTGTGGACTCTTTTTATTGTGGTTTTTGAGACATGGTCCCTCGATTATCCCAGGATAGCCTTGAACACTATCTGTAGCAGAGAATGATCTTGAATTCTTGGTCCTCTTACATCTACTCCCCAAGAGCTAAGATGACAGTCATGTGCTCCACTTCTGACTCTTGTGCTTCTTTTTTGAGATAGGCAACGTTGCCCAGGGTGGCCACAAACTCCTGGGCTCATAGCATCTTGCTTCTTCAGCTTCCCAAGTAGTTACAAGTCTATAGGCATACATAACTACACATGGACACAATATACTCTTTTCAATTACCTTCCTAGTTTCCATTCATGGTTGTGATTATTTCTCTGGGTTTTTCATACAGGGTTTCACTATATAGCCCAGAATGACCTCAAATTTATGATCCTCCTACCTTAATGTCCTAAGTATCAGCATTGTGTCCTGACCTCCAACTATTCATATCTTTCTCACAAAATTACTCAATTCAAATAATGACTCGTTTCTGCATTTATTCAAAAATTCCAAGTTCAGAGTCTCATCTGAATCATGTAGACATACACTTCAATGTGGACAGTCTCTGTAATGCTCATGTGTTGAAGGCTTGGTCCCCAGTACAGCAGTGTTGAGAGGTAGGAAGTCAAAACAAACTACTCCTTCTTTACATTGTCTATCTCAGGCATCCTGTCATGGCAACAGAAACATGACCAACCCAAAGGATGAGAACCTTTGGGATGTACATCATACCAAGTCAAATTCTTTCCCAGCTGTGACCCTGACTTTTCCAAGATGGAGCTTTTAAATTAATTTAACTTAATTTTTGGTTTTTTGAGGCAGGGTTTCTCTGTGAAGCAGTCCTGGCTGCCCTGGAACTCACTCTGTAGACCAGGCTGGCCTCGAACTTACAGAGACCCGCCTGCCTCTGCCTCCTGAGTGCTGAGATTAAAGGCATGCGCCACCACACGCTGGACATTCCACTGCAGCTTTTTCATACATGTATATCATCATCTGTTCGTGTCTCCCCTCCCGCCCCCAAGAGTGCCCTATGTGTATCAGTGTGTTTGTAGTTAAATCTAGGTTCTGCGTAGGAAAGAAACATTTGATATTTGTCTTTCTTTCCCCGTTACCCTCTCTTGTCCCCTCCCCCTCTTCTCTTCAGTTCCCTTGCTTCTTGCAGTGAGTCTCCTGCCTGCCTTCATGTCATACATGCAGTTAAGCCCGGATTCTACAAATGAAAGGAAATGTGATCTCTTCTGAGTCTGGCATATTTTGTTTAATATGATGATCTCCAGTTCTACCCATTTTTTTCTGAAAATCTCATAGTTTCATTCTTCTTTATGGCAGATTAGAACTCCATCATGTATGTATACCACATTTTCTTTATCCATTCATTTCTTATGTGCATCTAAATTAATTTAATATTTCAGACTATTATAAATAGTTCCCCCAGGTCTGGGGAAATGGCTCAGCAGTATAAGAGCACTGCCTGTTCTTCTAGAGGACCTGTACTTGATTTCCAGCCCACACACGGTAGCTCACAATCATCTGAAACCCCAGTTCCAGGAGATCCGATGTCCTCTTCTGCAGGCACCAGGCACTCAAGTGGTGCACACACATACATGCAGACAAAACACCCATACACATAAAATAAAACAAAACCGAATAATAGATAAGTAGTGCTTCAATGCCCAGGACTGGAGCCGCTTACCCTCTGTCTTCTCAAGGTCAGCCCTTGACCCACTTCCCTCTGAGGACTGGAGTTTGAACAGTAAGCCAAGAGACTTGGGTCTAGCAACAAGTGCCATCAGAGGCTGTGCTGCTGTCACACTTCAGGCCCCCAGGGTGCATCACGCTTACACTTACGTCTGGGAAGGAATGGTGTTGAGAGAAGGCATTCTTCAGGACATTCCTGCTTGCCACCCACGGCACTCCTGTCCCTTTATTCCTTTGCTCCTGCACCTCTTGTTTTATGCAGCAGGTGAGGAACTGTCCACTTAGGATGAGCTGTTTCCAATAGCAGGTGCCTTTCTGCACATCTCCCTTGAAGTCTGTTCTCAAGGAGTTCACTGTACTTACCCCTGGCAGCTTTGCTTTGCACAGTCTCTGCAAAGACCTCCACTGCTTCAGTGTCACTTATTTTTCTTGGCATTGTGACGAGATTTGTGTCTTAAACAACTTAAAGCAAGAAGGATCCATCCTCGTTCATGATCTCAGGGATGTCAGTTCATCATAGTTGGGAGGGCATAACAGAGCAGAACAGTTCACATCTCTGCCAGAAGGCAGAGAAAAGGCCCTTTAATGATTTGCTAGTGAAAAGTTCTTTCATTTTTCATTTATTTAAAAATGTCTTTTGGCTCAGTTGGTCAAGTGCTTGCCCTATAAGCACAAGAACCTAAGGTCCCTATGGCCCATGTAAAAAGTCAGGTGTGTGTCCTGCTTACAGTCTCAGTGCCAGAGAGTGACAGACAGGAGTCCTGGGCTTTCTGGCTAACCATTATTGTCTACTAGTAAGCTTCAACCAGTCAGAGGTCATGTCTCAAAAAACAAGGTGGAAGAAGGCTCCTGAGGAATAACAGGCCCACGCCTTTAATCCCAGCACTCCGGAGGCAGAGGCAGGATTTCTGTGAGTTTGAGGCCAGCCTGATCTGCAGATCTACTTCCAGGACAGCCAAGGTGTGATGATATTTTGTTTGTGCTCTAACAAATAAATCTTGCCTGGAGATCAGAGTGCGGACCTAGCCACTAGTAACCATAGAGGCCAGGCAGTAGTGGCACACACTTTTAATCCCAGCACTTGGGAGGAAGAAGCAGAAGATCAGGAGTTCAAGGCCACACTGGGCTATATGAGATTGATCCAGTCTAAAAGAGAACTAGAGCCAGGCAGTGGTGGCACACACCTTTGATCCCAGCACTTGGGAGGTGGAGACCGGAAGTGATAAGACTAGAGAGGAATATACGGCAGGTAGAAACAGGGCAGGGCTCCTTCAGGCTGAGGAATTGGTGAGGTAAGAGGTGGTGGCTGTGGCTTGCTCTTTTGTCTCTCTGATCTTTCAGCATCTACCCCTATATCTGACTCTGGGTTTTTATTATTAAGACCAATTAGGATTTGTGCTACACCAAGGCTATAAAAAAGAAAAAAAAAGTCCTATCTCAAAAAAAAAAATTCTACTTTAAAGACTTTGGGACTAAAATCATGTGCCACCATGCCTGGCTAATGTTTTTAATTTTTCTTTTAATTACGTGGGAATCTATATTTTCTTTGCATGAATGTTTTCAAACATTCTGTATTATTTCATGTTTATGCCCATTGAAGTCTCTGCTCAGTGAGCTTGGTGGTCGATGACTTATTTCACAGAGATTTCCTTAAATGCCCAGAACCAAAAAGTCACCCAGTCTCTGCCAAGGGACTCAGTACTTGTTGAGGCATGCTTTCGACTTCCAGCCAGGTAGTTTATGCTACTTCACTTCCTGCCTGGGTAGAGCCTCATGTTTGATCAATGGTAAGAAAGTAAGAATTCCTCCTGTCTTTCCTGCCCCCCCCCCAGCCCCGAGGATGCACGTACCTAATGTATCTGTATGTTCTAGATTCCCAGGAACACCCCAAAACTCCAAAGCCCCATACAGACACCACACTCCCTAACTTTTCCTTGTAAGCATTTTAGTTAACTTATCCTTTGTCCCAGTTGTTATCTACCACCACAGAATGCCGACATGTTAAACAGTGGCCTCTCATAGTTTAGACAAATGTCTCTGCCATGTCCAGGTCAGTTAGGGAATGAAGACAAGACAAGCACACACGTGGGAAATCTGGAAACTGGTGGGTTGGGTTCTGTGATGAAAGAAGCTCAACGTGTTTATTATATTATATTATAATTATTATATTATAATATATTATATACAGTTGAACAAGGAAGCAGAGTATCACCTGCAGATAAACAAGGAGTCAGGGTTTATGGTGCACAGCTGGATCCAGGAGGAAGGTTTAGCTAATCTCTGTAGTAGCAATTTCTACAGGGAGCCGTCTTTAGGTGTTGAGTCTTGCAGGGGTTTTGAATCTATAGTGGACATTTTCTGCAACACTATCAGCATGTACATATGGACCAGAGGAAGGCTTCCCGTTCTTCTGAGCCAGGATGGGGGAGGTTTTACCACAAGTCTGAGGCTATGGGGTCCTTGACATGGCTGCGCCTCATGTCAGTAACACACATTTACTCAGGACTTCCTCCGCTCCCCACAGTCCCTAAACAAAATCTGTTCTCTGCAAGCTGCAAGTCAGCTCAAATAAAGATGGCCTTCTCTTTTTTAGATTCACGTGTACTCTTTTCTTTGGCTTGTAGTATTTGGATGGGGGGTACGCAGGGTTGTTGGCATGAACTGGCATGATCCTGAGTTGGTTTTGAAAGAGTTACTTCGGCAGCTGGCATGGTTACTGATCTGCATTCTTTTGGAACAACTCTGCCAGCAGGGCCGGGTTCTGCCCCCGTTCCAGTCTGTATTACTGTTGCCGTCCATATGGCAAGAAGAGGAAGAAAGCAGTTCCAGTCTAACACAGGATTGCTGGAGGTGTTATTGGAAATCAGGTGTGTATTTCTGGTGAGTCTGCATTGCCACCATTTGCCAAATGCTTCTAAGCTGGAGGTAAGTGACTCGGTGCATTTTTAGCCAATGCAAACAGCACAGAGCTGAAGACAGAAATGTGGCAGTTGAAGCCGCTGGTTTGGTGAAAAACTGTTTCAGAGCTCCATGCGAAGAACACTGAAAGGCAGCCTACGTACGATCTTCCAAGAAGCCACTAAGTGGATCAAATAATGAGTTTGCTGTGAACGTGGCTTTGAAGGAACTTTGAGCCCATTCTGTCCCTCACAGAGCTGCCAAGCTGCTGGCTTTCATTGTATCTGCCACAGGATGTTGGTTTCCAAGGCTCCTACAGAACTTGGGAGGAGGGAAGAGGAAAGGATGTTAACCACCGGGTACATGCCTTTAATTCCATCACTCAGGAGGCAGAGCAGAACCAGGTGGATCACAGTGAGTTCAAGGCTAGCCTGGTCTACAGAACAGATCCAGGACAGGCACCAAAACTACACAGAGAAACCCAGTCTTGAAAAACCAAAAAATAAAATAAAAAAGTGAAAGGGATGTTAATCTTGGCTGGTCTTCAGAATGCCTTGGAATCCTGAAGAAGTAGGTCTTCCCTCATGAGCAGGATAAACTTGCCATTGAGAGAGAGGGGCAAGCAGGCAAAAAGAAAAAGCTTCTGTCTAGTTAGGTTTCTATCGCTGTGACGAGACACCATGACCACAGCAACTCTGATAAAGGAAGACATTTAACTGAGGTGCTGGCTTACAGTTCAGAGGTTCGGTCCATTATCATCATGGTGGGGAGCAAGGCAGACATGGTGCTGGCTGCATCTTGATCAGAAGGCAACAGGAAATGGACTGGGACACTGGGATTGGGGAACTCTGAGACCTCAAAGCCCATCCCCACAGTGACACATTTCCTCCAACAAGGCCACACCTACTTCAACAAGGCACTCTCTCTGAGATTATGGGAGCCAATTTACATTCAAACTACCACACCTTTCTTTTCCTTGTCCTTTATATTGGCTGCTACCAGAAAGTGTGGCCCAGATTAAAAGGTTGGTCTCCTCACCTCAAATGAGCCAATCAAGAAAAATCCCTCACAGGTGTGTCCAGATGATTGGGTTTTAGTTAATTCTAGATGCAGTCAAGTTGATAACCAAAAATGGCCGTCATGCCGCCTCACCAAACCCTACCATTTGTTTTTGGGCTAAATCTTTTATTATCATCACCAATGTCTGTCTGTCTCAAACACTCACCATCAGCAATCCTGTAGAGGTTAGCGAACCTTTCACCCGTGGAATGTGTCCAGGATCACCAGCTCGTCACCAGGCCTCACCACTGGCGTTGCCGCCATCCCTACCTACACCACAGTTCTCTAGTCACTTAGCACTTTCAAAAGAAACCTTCCCTTCCCTCAGACTGCCCTTGTTATGGTTCCACGTGGTTTGAGTACATCACAAAAAAAGGTTCATGTACTAAAATCCTGGTACTTAGGGGATGGTGAAGACGGTGGAACCTTTGAGAGGAGGGGCCTCAAAGGAAGGTGATTAGGTCTTTGGGGGCATCACCCTTGCAAGAGATTGACATAATGATCACGGCCCCTTGCTAGATAGAACCTGTCTAAGCCTGATTTCCCTTCAGGTCACTGACCTGACCTGAATGACATTCCCTGACCACCCTACACTTCACATCTCACCACTCCATTTTCTTCATTGTGCCTCGTTATTCCTCAGCACTCACGCTATCCGCTATCCGACATGTTGTATTTGCTAATGTCCATCTGTCTCCTCACATCATAATGTAAGCTCATGAAGACACTCTGTGGTTTTATTTGTAACTACCTGGAATTTTGACCTCAGGACAGGAAGAACTGTGCCTTTATCATCCCAGGTTCTCCTTAAAGACCACCCCTATATCTTTGTAAGTGTATCCTTCCTGCTTGATCCTAACTTGACATCTATTCATTTTGAAATCTTACTTAGCATAAACAAATAACTTTTTTTTCCTTTTTTGTTTCTCGAGACAAGGTTTCTCCGTGTAGTTTTGGTGCCGACATTTGCCTGAGATTGAACAGCAGCTGGTTACTAACAGAGCCAAGGTTTTACCTTTAAAAAAAAAAATGTGGTAGAATATTTAATGATAGTAGGATAGAGAAAGATCCTAAAACAAGAATAAAAAATAATATTCATGGACTGGGGCATCTATCTCAGAGCACTGGCCTGTCATTCATGTGGACAGAGTTCCCCAGATGACTTTAAAAAGTCATAAAGGAAAAAATGGAAAGAGATGAAGTTCTTTGCATCAAAAGATACCATAGGACCCCAAAAGATAACTCAGTTGGTAAATACTCACCACACACGCAAGAGAGCCTGTTTCATCCCTAGCATCTACATTAGTTACATAAAATAGGCATGGTGAGCCGGGCGGTGGTGGCGCACTCCTTTAATCCCAGCACTGGGAGGCAGAGCCAGGCGGATCTCTGTGAGTTCAAGGCCAGCCTGGGCTACCAAGTGAGCTCCGGGAAAGGCGCAAAGCTATGCAGAGAAACCCTGTCTCAAAAAAAAAAAAAAAAACAAAAAAAAAACAAAAAACAAAAAAAAAAATAGGCATGATGGCACATGCTTATAACACCAGCGTGGGGGAGTGGAGGATGTTGGGGGAGTCAGTTGGGAGACAGAAGACGGCTCAGTGGGTCAAGGCGCTTGCTGCCAAGCCCGATGGCCTGGGTCTGATGGAGGTCCCACAAGGTGGAAGGAGAGAACTAACTCTTGTGAGTGGTCTTCTGACCACTATGTGTGTGCTCTGTCACACGTGCACCCAAACGCTTACACACAGACAAACCAATGTAAAAAAGGACGTATTGGTGAGTCAGGGTGCTTGTTGCCAAGCCAGAGGATGGGAATTCAAACCCCAGGAACCACCTGGTGAATGAGAGAACTGATTCCCACAAGTGGTCCCTTAGCCTTTGCGTGAATGCCATGGCATGTGCAAGGGGCCTGAACATGTGCACACACACATAAATAAATAAATAAATAAATAAATAAATAAATAAATAAATAAATAAATAAGCAAACAAATGTAAAATCAAGCTTTAAAGAGAGGGGAGGGGCTGGCTAGATAGTACAAGAAGGTCTTGCCTCTCAAGCCTGACAACCTGAGTTTGATCCCTAGGACCTACATAAAGATGAAAGGAGAGAACAACCCCCCCCCAAAGTTGTCCTCTCACCTCCACTTATGTGCATGGCATGTGTGTGCTTGCGCTTGTATAGACATACACATGCTAATAATAAATAAATATATATATATTTTTGAAAACCTAGATGGATGGATCCTGAACATGAGGTTGACCTCTGACCTCCACATGCCTGTGTGTCCCAACATAAGATAGAGAATTTACAGAGGAAGAAATTCATGTGGTTATATATAAAAGCTGCCTAGAGATGAATGTTTTCCACAGTACATGGTAGTAGAGTACTTGCTTGGGCATGTGCCAGGTTCTGGGTTGGGTTCCCAGAAACTCCTAAAACTCAGCGATTAGGAAAGTGGAAGTTTAAGTACGAGATCCTACAATGTAATATTTGGCAATAAAAACTGTCAGGTATAGTAAGTGTTAGAAGGATGCAGCTAGAGGAATTATTGATTCAGCTATTCTGTTGCTACAGAAATTAATGACAGCCCATAAAACCAATGCTACACAAACCACACACCATATTACCTAGTTATTTTCCATGGAGGACTCCTCCCCTGAGAAACGTTCATATGTTCACAAGCAGACATGTGGACAATGTTCATTGCTTCATTTCAGTATAATAAAGGAAATAAGATACCATCCAATGTTTCTCACTAGGAAAATGGTCTCCCTTACATATGCATTTATCTACTTGGATCCATCTCAAAAAAACAGCATTGAGTCAAAAAAGCAAGGTGATAAAAAACAAAATATTGGTGCTTGGTATGCTTGGTAGGACACTTGTAGTCCCAGGTACTGGGGAGACTGAGTTGGGAGAATAATATGAACTGTGAGGTGTTGTGAACTAGGATATTTGTTTAACTAGGTAAAGATGTGTTACTGTTTCACCTTGCCTGCCTAAGGCACATGATTGGTCTAATAAAAAGCTGAACGGTCAATAGCAAGGCAGGAGAAAGGATAGGTGGGGCTGGCAGGCAGAGAGAATAAATAGGAGAAATCTGGGAAGAGAGAATTAAAAAGAAGGAGCAAGAGGAGGAAGAGGACCCCAGCAGCCAGCCACCCAGCTACACAGCCACCCAGCTACACAGCAAGCCACAGAGTAAGAGTGAGATTTACAGAAGTAAGAGAATGGGAAAAGCCCAGAGGGAAAAGATAGATGGGGATAAATTAAGTAGCTGACTAGAAACAAGCCAAGCTAAGGCCAGGCCGTCAAAATTAAGATAAGCCTCCATGTGTGATTTATTTGGGAGCTTGGTTCCCCCCCCCCAAAAAAAAAGAGAACCAAAACAACCAACAACACAGTGAGGGTTTTTTGTTTTGTTTTGTTTTTCGAGAAGAGTTTCTCTGTGTGCCTCTAGTTGTCCTGGAATTCAAGCTGTAGACCAGGCTGGCCTTGAACTCACAGAGATCCGCCTGTCTCTGCCTCCCTAGTGCTGAGATCAAAGGTGTGCGCCACCACCACCCAGCTGAGCTGTGAGTTTGAGACTCGCTTGAGACTAGTCTGAGAAAATAGCAAGACTCAAAGCAAAACAAAAATGGTATAGTTATAATTATTGAATAAAAGTATGCAGAGTGATACTCTCTGTGTACTTTACAGAATTGTAGTTTATGGATTTCACATATGTTGTAAAAATGTAAAACATGCACAGCAATGGTAAGCATCAACTTTAGATGTCAAAAGGAGGGGAATGACTAGTGGATAAGGCTGTGCCTAAATCTAATTAAAATTATTTATTAATATTTTTATTTTATATCCATTTAAATCCTAATCAAAGTATATTTTTTAGATCTATTGAGGTGTAATTGATAA